GGGCGGCCCCGAGCTGCGGGCCGCCGCTGCGAAACAGCGCGGCGCGCCTATCCTGGGCGCGCGAGCGCTCCGAGCCGCTGCGGCGCAGCGTCGACAGCGGCAAATCCGCGCGCCGCGCCCGGAGGGTCATCGGGCGACAGGGCAGGCGCTCAGGCGAGGGCTACCGCGAATCCCTGAACGACGCATTCGACAACAACCCTTGGGATGCTTCCGCGGGTTTCGGAAGGGGCAAAGGTAGAGGATCAGGGCCGGTCGCGCGGGGTCGGGCAGCCGAAGCCAGACCGCGGGCCCTGGCGGATCGCGCTTCAGATGCAGCGAGCGAAACTCCGAGGAGCACCGCTCGCGCGACTGCCCCCGGCTGCGCGACTTTGGAGGTCGGGGGGTCGGGCGCCCAAGGGCTTGGGGATTGGCGCCTTCCCGCGCGGCCGCTTTCCCGCGCGGCCGATTTCGCCTCCGCTTCGGAGCCGGAGACCGCTTGCGGCCCTCCCCGCAGCAGGGCTTGCGTTCCAGGAATCTCACCAGGAGAAGTCGCGCCCGGAATGGGCGGGGGAGGACTTCACGGGCTCCGCTGCTCGAGATGCTTGGGGGGCGACGCGCGATCGTGCCAGGCGGGCCGGGGGGGGCTTCCAGGCAAGAGCCGCGGCAGCTGGAATCGCTGCTGAGCTGCCCTGGATTGCGGCGCGACATCTCGCGAGCGGCTCGCGCCAAGATGCAGCGCGGGCAGTTCACGGATGCGGCGGCTCACATTTGCTCGGGGGAGGGGCCGAAGACCGCCGATCTCACGCCGCGGCGCGCCCTGACCGCCACTGTCGCATGCGGCGGCGAGCCCCGCGGGGCGGGGGCCATTTGGGAGCGGCGCGGCGTCGTCCGAGCTTGCGGCCAGCGCGGCATTTCGCTGCGCGTCTGGGTCAGCGCAGTGCGCGCGCCGAGCTAGCTCCCTGACTGCCCTGTCGGGGCCGCCGATGGCCTCTGCTGTCGCGTCGCGAAGCAGGGGGGCGATGTGGGCGCGGCCGCCGACGTCCTCTGCGCGTTTGCGCGGCGACGCGCGGCAGCAGGTGGATTGCGCCGGATTTGATCGTCGCGCCGCCTGGGCGCCGCAAGTCTGCCGGGGATGTCCAGGCCGACGACTGCGTCGAACGCGGCGCCGACGACTCTGCGCGCGTTCGCAGGCGGCGCGGGCCCCCTGGCGCCTCTCGAGCCGCGCGCCCAGGTGCCGGAGACGCCGAGGGAGTGGATCGACGGCTGTCGCGTCGAGGGCGCGGACTTTGATGTCCATGCGACCAGCAGCTCTCGCGCCTGATCTGGCAGTCAATCTTGCGCATCGCTATGGGCCGTGCCGACCGCGGCGACACCGCTGCGCGGCGTCGACAGGAAGACGCACAGGTGGGCTTGCGCGTCGTCGGGAAGGCCCCGCTGACACGGGTTGCCATAGATGAGGGAGGAGCTCCCCGGGGACCGTGGCCAGAAAATTTGGCGATTCCACGGCGGGGGGGCGATGGGGGCCCTGCGCAGGGCGGCACGACGGCCGAGGTTATGGCGCGCCGCATTCTCGGCGCGTCGGGCGTGGCCACTGCTGGGTCAGGGCGCCAGGGGGGCAGGGGGGCGAAATTCTGCGCTGCGTTTCAAGTGGGACTGACGGGGGCGGCGGCGGTGCACTGGCGCGAGGAGGTGAGCGACCGAAAGGCTTCTTTCGTCGGAGTTCGGCGCGCCCTGGCGGCGGCTCTCCTCAAACGCCTTGGAATTGCAGTGCGAGGCCCGCTGCAGGCCTGCTCCCAGGCTCGCATCAACGTCGGCGGCAGGGTCGAGACGTGGGTCGAGACTCTCCGGAAGCGGTGGCCCGACTTATCGTTCGAGGGGGGTGGCGGGAGCTACGCGCTCTGCGCTCGGCCCGCGCGCCTGCTACTCCGGGCCTTGCGCGCCTGGCCGCAGGCGGCCGCCCAGTGGGGGGGGCAGCTCGCCCGGACACTGCTCGGACTTGGATGGCAGTCGGCGCCCTCTTGGCGAGGCGTGTTCGCCCGGGCCGACGAGGGCGCGCTGACCGCGTGCGTCGGCGACGGCGGCGGCTCGTGGCAAGGGCGACGCTCGCCAGGAAGCGCCGCGCTAGAGCGTCGAGCTCACGGACGCGCCGTCGTTGGTGGACATCTTCGTTGGGGCGCGCTGCGCCTTCGACCCGTTCGACCGCGCGCTCCATAGCGCGCCCCTGTCTGTCGCGACGTCGATGGTCGAATGCGCCTGGGCTATGGCGGGGCGCTTCCGCGGTGGCGCCAGCTTCAGGCTCAGTCAATTGGCCCGCGGACGCGCCGTGCATTTCGGCCGAGGCTTGGGCGCAGGATTCAATGAGGTTTGCAGGCGTCGTGGCGTCGCGCTCTGCGCGCTCTCTCTTCCCGCGCTGCGTTGGGCGACCCGGCCTGGCTGCAGCCGCGCAGCGTCTGCGCGGCGGGGTGTCGCACACTGTTGCTTTGGACCATTGTCCGCGAACTGGGCCTCCTTCGTCTCGTGGCGCATGCTGCTTGCACTTCCACGCGCGTCCTCATGCGCGTGCTCGCCCTGGCCGTCGCGGGCGACCTGCTGCTGGCGACGCGCTCTGACGCCGACTGGATCGTCGACCCGATGACCAGCAAGTCCGCCACCGGGTGGTGGATGGAGCTGTTCTCGCCAACCTTCGCAGGATAGGGGTAGTTTGCAGGGTCGACAACATTCAGAGTGCCCAAACCGTGGTCAAACAGGCTACTCGAAGCGGCTGCGCTGCCTTGTGCGCATGCAGCGGTTTTGCGTGGGTGTGTTGCACGGGATGTTGAACAACAGGAACTCCAGCTCAGCACCGAGCGCTGCCCCACCTTGCAGATGAAAGCCGACTTGTTCACCAAGCTCCTAAATGGCCCGAGGTTCCGAGCAGCGCTGGAGATGATTCACATGACGCAGCACGATTAAACTCGACAGCAATGGCTGTGCTGGCAGTCGTTCGGCGAGGGGTGTATGGAAGACATTCAAAAGCAAACGCCCCCGCTCGTGCCAGGCAATGACCCGGCGGTAGGGAGGCCACCTTCTCCTTAACACCCTGGTCCCAGCACTGACGGTCGGGAGGCGTCCTTCTCCCTACCACCCTGGTCCCAGCACAGGGTCAGGAGGCAGTTTTTTCTTTACCCCTTGACTTCGATCAGCACAAATGGGGCGCGATTTGTTTTTTTTCCGCGGGAGCTTGGCAGAGTGAGTGTAGTTCGAGGCGCGTAGGCGTAGGCAACAACAGCGTGCAACAGTATGTTTCGGAATTCGGGTGGTTTTTCACTCGAGCAGAATCGTGCAGTCTGAGGCCCGCAGGCGGCAACAGCGTGCAATATCGCGCTCAGGAGTTTCAGTGGCTTCTCACTCGTGCAGAATCGCGCATCAAACGTTGACTGCAGGTCTATCTATTCCTTCGGCGCACCGTCGGAGTATGTCAACCCATCCCCGGCCTCAGGCGCATTCCAGCTGGTCATCCGCCCAAGGCGGCGACAGCCAGGATCGCCAGTGCACGCCCCCCGGGTGCCGTGTTCGCCCCCTGGGGCTGTGGCCTCACCGTGTGCTTCTGGGGGTGCTGCGATCGCCTCCCGGGATGTGGCCTCGCCGTCTGCTGCTTTCTGGGGTGCCGTGATCGTCCTACGTCTGGCTCAAGGCCGGTTTCGTGGCGTTTTTCGACGCTCGCCGCGGCACGTTTGTCTCAAGACCGGTCTGGTGGCGCCCCTTGGCGCTCATCGCGGCATTTCTGTCTCAAGGCCGGCTTTGTGGCGCCAACGGGCGTTCACCGAGGCATGCTGCGTAATCTCTTGATATGCATCCCTTGGATGTGCATGCAGCCCATCCGCAACCATGTTGGCTCAAGCCCAAACTTGGTCGTAGCCTAAGCAGGTTACAGTGCCGTTTTTAATACATGCTCCGCGTGCGGATCATGTGTTAAATTGCAAGGATTTAGTACTAACAACAACGATGAGTTCATGCATACATGTATCCATACATTGATCATGTAAATGTATTAAAATCATATTTTTAAACAATCCTATGTATTAAAAACTGCCCTGCATATTGCAAGTTTCTTCTCTAGGCCCACGTGCCCGTGCATGGGCAAGGCGAATTGGCAACATCGGACAAAAAGAGCCAGCGCTCAAGTCGAGCCAAAACCAGTCACTACATGGAGGTCCAGGGGAGTAGGCGAACACTGACAACAAGCAGCGAGGCCAACGTAGAGGCCAACGGGAACCAGCATACCGAGCAACAGTGAGGACGGTTTGGAGCCGCAGCAGCTGAACAACATAATCTCTTGCCTTTCACAGCGTTTTGTTCGATGCGTGGTCATTGCCTGCGCTGGGAGGCGCCGAGATATCCAATTGCGTACAGTTGATTTGCTGCCACCCTGTTGGCAGACCATCCCAATTTTTCGTCTGACCAGACCCTCCCGCAGAAGACACGGCCCACACATCATGTCTTCGGAGGTTCGCGCGGATTGTTCGTGTCGGCGTTGAGTCAGTATTGGCGGCGCCTCCAGCGCCGTCCTTGGCAAGCTTGGCGGTCCACCGTCGAACCGAAAGATTTCCGCTCGGACTTCCAAGCAGTGATGTTCATGTAGTGTTGGTTTCTGAAACAACTGGTCCCTTGTCCCTCGCTGCCCTCGGCCACCGCATTCTCTGCTGACGGCCTCCCAGTATGTGTAGCACGTTTTCCATGTTCACGCTGCGGATCGTTGGTGACGTTGAACATGTCTCGTCGATCGTGCGGTCAAGTGAACATGTATGTCTATGTGGACTATGTGGTTGTGCGTGTGTGTGCGCATGCGTACGTTCGCAATGTCGTACCCCCGACGCCTTCCCAATTTGCGAAATCGCCATGATCCTGGTGCGCTTCGATCTGTAATTATGTACGTCTTCATTCGTTCACTCGCATTTGCTGTTGTACTGCCTTGCTTCCTATCGTGTTCGAACTTCGGTCCAAGGTTGCAGATGATACTTCCTGCGCAAACGAGCGCGCAGGTCAGTTCCGAAGAAGGAGTGGTGCTGCCAGAACACGGGGAAGGGATGCGGACCGACCACTACAATCGAGGCCTACGATTGCAACAAAGGATTTGCCAATTGGAGAGACGGCTGGTCGATGGATAAGAAGGACGGGCAGGGGCGTTGCATCGTATCATGTTTTACACCCAGTGGCAAGCGTTATATGGGCTTCTAAAGCGCCTCTTGGGGCCATTGGGTCCCTGTTTGGCATCTTGAGGCCCTGTTGGGAATCTTCGGGCTGGACGTCTGGTTCTATCGATCTCCTCCGATGGGAAGGGCAAACATCATCTGTGCAACAGCAGCAGCTGGTGGTGTTGGACAGCACTTGCTGTTGTCCATTGCGCTAATTTTGTTGTACCCATTTCGCGCATACCAATGTGTGTTCACCATGAGGAAGGTGGCCCATCATTGTTGTGTTTGTGTTGCCAAGGTTAGGGAATCGATCGATTCGGTATGTTTTCATTTTTATTTAGCCCTCTGGTCCCCGCGGCCGCTGGATTCTCCTCGAGGCTCTGATCCGAACTCGCCCGCAGAGGGGGAGGCGGGCGGGCGGATTTTCCAGGGCCGCCCAGGGGGCAACCTGTCTTTGGGGAGCGGGCCCCGTGGGTCTGGGTCCGCCTTGGGCCTCCCTGGCGCTCCTTCCCCGCCCCCAGGGCCCTCACACCATCGGCATCGTCGCACCACCAGCATCGTCCACGGGCGTGCCTCGGGACCCAGGGCCCATCTCCCTCGGGACCCCTCCCTCGGGGTCGCCGAAGCGGGGGGTGCCGACGAGCGGTGCGTGGACGTCACGGCCCGGGCAGCGACATCTCCCCGATCTCATGCCTCTCTCTCCTCGTTTCCGTGCGCTCTGTGGCCCCCCCTTCTCGCCCGCGCACACGGGCCATGATTTGCGACCCCTCTTCCCTCCCGCCATGGCACTGGCTTCCTCTCCACCGCCGTCTCCGCTGCTGCCGGTGCCGCATGGGGCACCCTGCCGGGGCCGGCTGGCCTCTGCCCCCTCAGGACTGGTGCTGCCAGAACAGGAACAGGGGCTGCGCCGCCTCCGCGACCACGAGCCCGCCGTACGACTGCGACCAGGGGTACGCGAAGTGGAAGGACGGGGAAGGGGTCTGGTCGGGCGGGACTGGGACTGGGATAAATCGATCCAGACCGTTCCGGACCACTCTCAGAGCGTTCTGGAGCGCTCTGGGATGGCCGGTGCAATTTTTGGACACGGTGCTCATGCTTGGCGTGTCTGGAACCGTCGCGGCGCCCGATGGATCCTCCAGAACAGTTTGGTCTCAGAGATTATCGCTTTCTCCCGGATGCTGCCGAGTGAAAGGTGTCTGTATGTGTGTGCCGCTGTATTCATAGTTGATTAGTCACGGAGAAAAGGAGAGATGGGGGAGAACAAGAGATGTATCCAGTTGCTTTCGGCAAGCCCCGCCAGCGTGCCTGTGCAACAGTTTTGCAGGAAGGAGGCTGAGTGTAGGAACCGCCCAATTCCAACGAGTAGTCTGCATGTGGACGGAACGTGATCCCGATCTCGTCTTCGTCCGCGCGGCAGGGAGGAGGAATAGGAAGAGGAGGAAAAGGAGGAGGCGACGCCTTGACTTTCAGCTCTCTTTGCAGCATGTACCTACTAAACGAAAGCCGGGCTCTCATCATACACAGATGTACCATAGTCTTCGGTTTATTTAATCGCTTCGCTCATTCCGCCGGCCCATACAGTCTCATGTCTGCCGTTTGCCCGAGGGCCTGGTGTCAATGCGGCGCTTTGGGGGTTCCTGGGGCCGCTTGGGGGACTCCTGGGGCGCTCGGGGGGCATTTGGGGGGCCTCCTGGGGCCGCTTGGGGGACTCTTGGGGGCCTCCTGAGGGCCTCGTGGGGGCCTCTTGGGGCCTCTTCGGGGCCTCTTGGGGCCTCGTGGGGGCTTCTTAGGGCTGAGGGCTCGAAATGTTGTTTCGTGTTCCCTCTCTGGGGCCCCTTTGGGTGCGTTCTTGGGGCCCTTTTGGACCGTCTTGGAGGCTTCTTGGGCCGTCTTCGAGCCCTCTTGGGCCATCTTGGGGCCCTATTGGGGGCCTCTTGGGCCCTCTTGGGGCGATCTTGGGGGCCTCTTGGGCCGTCTTGGGGCGTCGGGAAGCCGAAAAGGTGGAAGCTCCAAAAACTCTCAAAAACCTATGGAAAAACAATGATTTTTGCCTCCGGGGGCCCTATTGGGAGTGCTCTTGGAGGCCTCTTGGGGCGTCTGGGGGCTATCTTGGGCGTCTTGGAGCGATCTTGGGGCATGTCGGACCCCTCGTGGACCATCTTGGGGGCCTCTTGGGGGCCTCTTGGCCTTTCTTGGGGCTCTCGGGGACGTCTCGGAGCCCTGTTGGTGCGCTCATGGAGCGCTCGGGGGGACCCGGCCGGGACCCGGCCGGGACCCGGCCGGGGACCGGCCGGGACCTGGTCGGGGTACTTTTCGTCCGGGGACCCCCAGGGGCCGCCCCGCGCGCGCGAACTAGAAAATTGTTAACCAGTTACCGGAGATCTTAGCACGCCTCTGGCCCGTTGGGCCGGCGAATTTACTTACTAAGTTGTGAGTGCCTGGGGGTCTGGGACGGTCGCGGATCTTGCGGCGGGGTATCAGCCTGGAGTCTCGCCCGAGCAGCGCACGCATCATCTGCCAGTTACAGTGTTTTTGTTGTAGCATGTTTTCCAAACGGAAAGTAAACAACACATTCGGAATCCGATTGTCACAGCGTTTGTTTGAAGCGTTTTTGATGCAATAAAAAAGGCCAGTCGTCGATCGCATCTGGATTCGGTTGCGCGGGCTCGACGGGCGATCGGAAATGCAAAACGCTTTTACAGAGCATAACCCCAGCGCCCCTAGCAGGCGCGCAGTGCATCACATCTTGGGGCGACGGGGAAGCGACGTCAGTAGTCTCAGCGGGCCCTGTGCGTCCAGGATCATCATGTTCGAACGCGTTGAAGTGTTAACGCGCCGCATGTGAAGTTTCATCATTGGGGCCCTTGTTAGTGCGATGCAGTAAACCCCAGTGGTATGCAATCGGTGCCTGATGGTGCCTTCGGGCTTTTCATTGAATCTTTCACCTGCCTTCAGATCCGTATCGGTACCCATAGGACACCAGATGGTTCACCGCGTTTACACATGATTCTTGTGGGTCCCACCTTCTCTCCACATTCTCGCCCACTCGTTCAACTGGCCCGTCGCTGGTTCCACGCGAAGCCTGGGGACTCATGTCAGCTCGCAGTGTCTCATTGTTTCCCAGGATCTAATATGAATTATGTTTCCCTCCCCCGGGCTCCCATTGGAGCGGAGGTTCTTCTCGTTGCGTCCGCGGGCCCCGTGCATTCTCTGGAATGCGGTCGCGATGTCACGCCCCGCTGCGCTAGGCCCAAGCATGGCCAAGGAGGGGCCCGACCCCTGGGCTGCCGCGGCCAACTCTTTGGCGTCCGCGGGGCTTGGCGCCCTGGAAGCGGTCGCCATCGCGCGGCCCATGCCGTGGCGCCGGAAAATCCATTGTTCCACAATGCGTGCATCCAAGTCGGGCCCCCCAGAATACAAGTGAAACGCATTGTTTTTATCCATTGTACTTGCGTTTTGCATTGTGCACTCGCGGGCGCGCGCGCGCGCGAGCAGCGAGGAACATACAATGTGTCGCAATACATCATGTCACGTTGAGGCCTCCAGAATACGAGTGAAACAGTTTGTCTTCGCCGTTGAGTTTTCGAGATTAAGATTGATGTTTTGTAGAAGCGTTTGCATTATGCACGCGCGGGCGCGCGCGCACGCGCGCGCGCGAGCAACGAGGCAAGCACGGCGTGCCACAATGCATTATTCCACGTTGCGGCCCCCAGAATACGGGTGGAATATTTGATTTTCACCATTCAGTCTCTGAAATTCAGATGGCGATTCTGCATCAGTTGTCCTATTGGTTCCCACGTTGCGCGCGCCCGTGCGCGCGCGCAAGAACAACGAGGAAAATGCATTGCGCCGCACTGCACGATTCGACGTTGAGGTCTCCAGAATACGAATGAAACGTGTCATTTGCAGAATTGAGTTTTCGGGGAAAATGCTGCAAGCGCGTGCGCGCTGCGCGCGCGGGCAACGAGGGAAATGCATTGTGCCGCAGTGCACTATTCCACGCTGAGGCTTCCAGCTTACGAGTGAAACGATGGGTTCCCACCGTTCAGTTGTTGAAATTAGGGCTGCTATTCGGCGCGAGTTTTGGCCATGTTCGCGCGCGCGATCAACCGGGAAACTACATCGCGACGCGAGGCGTCATTTCACGTTGAGTCCCCCAGAATGCGAGTGATACAATTGGTTTTCACCAGTCCGTGTTTTCTAAACTTAGAATGCTATTGCGCATGGGGCATTGGCGCTGCGCGCGCAGCGAGGAACGCAGAGCGGGCCACAATGCATGATTCCACGCGATCGGCCTCCAGAGTGCGAGTGGAACACTTGGTTTTCCATTATTCTGTTCTCGAAAGTAAGATGGCTATTCTGCACCGGTTGCCCTCGTAGGTTTTTTTGCGTTGCGCTCGCGAGTAACGAGGTCAGTCAGGTCATTGCGCCACAATTTCCCTTTTCCACGATGGGGCCCCTGATGCGAGTGAAATTATTGGTTTTCGCAATTCGGTTTTTCTGAATTAAGATGGCTATTCGGCGCAGGTCGACGCGTTGCGCGCGTCCAACGAGGGGCGCGCATTGCGCCGCAATGAATGAGTGCGCGCTTGGGCCTGCAGTATATATATATGGAACAGCTTGGTGCCAATTCTCATTATTCGAATTCCTCATGGCGATGCGGCTTCGTTTTCCTTGCGTCGCGCGCGCGCGGGCGCCGGCGCGCGCGCGCGCCCGCGCGCGCGAGCATGGGGGGAATCGCACTGTGTCACATTGCACTATTCCACTTTTTTTCCACGTTGAGCCCCCCAGAATATGAGTGCAACGCTAGGTTGTTGCCGTTGAGTGTGCGAAGTTAAGATGGCTATTCGGCATCAGCTTCTGCATTGCACGCGCATGAGCGCGCGCATGAGCGCGCGCGAGCACTGAGGAACGCGCATTGTTTCGCAATGCATCGTTCCACGTTGGGGCCTCTTCGGAATGCGAGTCAGGCACTCGGTGAAACCCATGTAGTTATCGAGCTTAGGGTGGCCATGCTGCATCGGTTCTTCCGCTGCGCGCACGCGAGCGTGCGCGTGCAACGAGCAGCGCGTTGTATCGCGCTGCATCCTGCTACATTGGGGCCATGCGAATACGGGTGAATCACTTGGTTTTCACAGTTCAGTGCTTGCATCCAGCGTGGCCACTTGGTGCCGTTCGTTTTTGCGTGGCGCGGGCAGACGGGTAATGGCGAAGTTCCATGTGCGTCGGAATGACGTTTTCCACGTTTATGCCATCAGAGTGAGAGAAACACTCGGTTGTCGGCCGTTGGGTTTGGGAATTAACATTGCCATTCGGCAGTTAATCCTGCGCCGCGCACGCGGGAGCTGCGCGGTGCGCTGCGCACCTGTCTCGCGCGGGGCGCGAGCGAGATTTTGGGCCCGCAGTCGGCGGGGGCCCGCGTCTCGGCGTCGGCCGAGCCATGTCTACGGATTGCAGCTCGCAGGCGCGCATTCGCGCAGGGAGCAAGTGGGCGCGCGCGCTCTCAAAGTGCTCCTGGTCCGCGCGATCGGCTCCGATGCAGCGGCAATGCGCGCGGTGCCGGCCTTCGTCTCGAGCCAGCCTGCGGGGGGATTTGCTATGGAATTTTGCTACCTGCCGACCATGTAGAGAATCGCGCGGATGACCGCGGCGAGCAGGCGGTGGCCTAAGAGGCGCGTAGCCTTGCAGTTTCTTGGCAGAAGTTGTTTCCGAATAGAAGACGTTGTTACAGTTGGCGTTCGCAGGTTGCTTGCTGCGCCATGCGCTGACAGTTGTACCGTAGTGCACTACGACAACGACGTCACGGCAGGATTTCACCATTACGAATTCGAAGGCACAGCCCTGGACATCCACGTCATCAATGGATTCACGCATGCACGCACCACCCAACGCCCCAAATCCTGAAACCCTCTAGCAGGCTTCGACGAATATCAATATACGTTCCAGGAACTGGCGGACACGCCAGCATCGAGCGGCAGCGCTCAAGAAAAAGAGCAGCTCCGGCCGCGCTCGATTGATGGCTTCCGACCATTAATGAAGAGCCGGAAATGGACTTAGGAGCTCGCATCATGGAAACGCTGTACATTGAATTTCAAGAAGACAATTTTTTTGTGAATTGTATGTTTTTGTTTGTTTTTTTTGTTTTTGTTTTTTTTTTTGTTGTTTTGTTTTGTTTTGTTGTTTTGTTTTGTCCGTTTTGTTCTTTGTCTTTTGTTTTTTTATTTTTTGTGTTTGTTGTTGTGGTGTTGTCTGTTTTGTCTTTTTTTGTGTTGTCTTTCTACCTGTCTTCCTTCCTTTTTTGCTTTTTTTGTTGTTGTTCCTATTGATGTTGTTTTTCGGTTGTGGGCATTTCTTTATTGTCCACATTTGTGTTTTGATCTTGCTCTCGTTGCCTCTTTTTCTGTTTTGTAGTAGTTTTGGTGCTTGTTCTATGTTCTTTTGTTCTTCTTTGTTGTGTGTTACTTTTTTGATTTTTTTTTTGTTTGTTCTGTTTCTCCTTTATTTTTTTTCTTTGTTTGTTTTGTGTGGCCTTACATCCATATTTGTGTGTCTGTGTGTTCTTTGTTGTTTTTTTGGTTCGTTGTGTGGTTGTGTTGGCTTTGTGTTGGTTTTGTGTATTTCGTGTGACGTGTTCTTGTTTTTTGTTTTGTGTGTATTGTTACTGTCTTGTACATTGAATTTCAAGAAGACAATGAAGTACTGGAAACGACCCCACTAGTGTCCGTATACTCGGTGCCCACAGAAATCACCACCGAAAAACGCGCGCTCGTGACTGTGGCCAGCGATGCGCAAGAACACTTGCATTAAACCTGCCTTTTACTACCACGATGATATTGACAAGACATTTCTCGTGCTTAGGGCTTTGGATCACCAGGTGCGACGGAGCAACCGACCTGGATGTGGACGAACGTGGTCGGTATGTAGAGCTTTGTTTCACCACTGACATGGCCCAGGAAGTTCTCGCGGGGCAGCAGCGCAGCTCATCCGACGACGGACATATTGTCACTGCGCGCGTATATGTGTCAGCCGCGGCCGAGAGAGCTGCGGCCGTCAAGGAAGACGACCTTTTGGCGAAGGCCGAAACGCAGGCGAATGCGGCTCTAGGATGCAGGACCGTTTGAATGCCATGATTTTTCACGACATCTAGACATGCGCACAATTTGAATTCTTTGAAGAACGAAAGGGCGAGATGGAACGAACAATCAGGCTTCGCCTGGTCCTTCGTGGCTTCGTCGTGGATGTCGAAGCTTTCTATGCAGATGCCTTCTCAGGCACAGCTCGTCGGACAAGTCAGAGATTGCTCGCCGGCCGGCCGCGCGCTTTCATGGGCCTTGTCAGCGCCTTTTTCGAAGGGCTTGATCCATCGCGAACTGGCTGGGGCTACTGAAAAGAAGAACGCATGGTATCCTTCACTCTCCCACCTGGCTCAGCATCGGCGCTGCGTGCTCTGCTGGGCTTCGCGTATCACGACGAGTCAAGACGCTGCTTGCAGTGTCTGAAGCCGGGCACGGGCACCAAAGATGCTGGGCAGTTCCGGTGAAACTCAGGACCATCGCGATGGGCTGCGGGCATAGACCTACTTCATGCGACGAGGATCTAGGGACTAGCCCAACCTTCCTAGCAGCCGGGCGCGTTCGCGACATGAGTATGGCAGGAGTCGAGGACGCGATTGTCAAATGCGTCAAGCACGTAGAAATCATATAAACACATGTTTACTACATGCGCCTCGCGCTGCGCCAAACCGAGGTCGACCGCGTTCAGCTGGACCAAAATGAATGCATCAAACAACTTCGCCCCTACTGCACCCAGATGCCCGGGCGCTGACGCCGAAGGGAAGGCGACCGAAATGGCATCTGATGCGTTCATCAGCTTGCGTGGTGCGTTAGCATAAACATTGGTGGCGCAGGTATTGATCTTCGTATATGCGGCATCGCTATCACGCGTCCATGAACCAAACGTACAAGCCCGGAGACAACGCCGCAAATAGCAAATTACAACAATGCCGGAGTAGTATAGCATGCCAGCTCCTGGCTCCTGGTAGGAGAAGCGCCCCTGCCCGGCGACTCCGATTATCGTCGCCTGAACGGCGATGCCGATGACGAATCGAAGGGGCAGTGCATCCGCGGGGCCAACCTCTATCAGCGCGGACACGCGCCTAACGGTAAAGCAGCAGTGCACCTGATCGGCGCGCACTGCAAGTCGCGCCGCTTGCAGGTGCGTTCCAGGTACTCAGCAGAAACACTTAACAGCAGCCTACAACCTTGAGGACTGCGACCCTACCATCGCGACGCTACGCGGGCTTACGGCTGGGCCGCCGGCGCCAACGCAGCCCAATAATCAAGTAGAGAAGCATGCCAGCGACCCTCGCCATAGACGCCGGGTCGGTCTTCAATTCCCCATCAGGTATGGGGCCTGACGACGCCGAGCAGATCGACCTTGATCGGACATATCAGTATACGACAAATGATGGGCCGAGGAATTGTTCACCTCGCACCATGGTGTGATGCGCGGGACGTGACAGCCGACGGCCATGCCATGGGTTGTAGTGATCGCGACTTACTACTGCAAGATTTGGAAGGAAATCAGTCATTCAAGTACGAGGTAAAGAGGCATACACTTACAGAGGTAACGAAGCAGCACCAACATAGCCCCTTCCTTGTGACGGCTAGCGGATAAAGCATGTGCTCGGCTAGGTCAAGGCCAACGTATTCTCGGACACGAGCAGTGCATCAGTATTCGTTCGGACGCGGGCTATCTCAGCTTTTTGCCTTTTTTTGCGTAGCCAGAGGTTTTGATGCCTCACAGTTTGGTCAGGCATCCTTGTGCTTCGCCGCGCACTTTGACGTCTGACATTTTTGTCAGGCGTCCTCTTAATCATCTTCGGTCGGTCGTGCGGGTTGCCCATGGCCGACCCCAATGCCCTGTGCTGCCCTCTTCTTGCTTTGACTCTGTGCTGCTAGGGCTGTCGACCGCCCTATAGTATGTTTTTCATTTTTTGTTTTGACTTGCTGTATTATTTACATTTGTCGTGGCACGACGTTCGGCTCTTCCTCTCCCGACTTGGAAGGAGTTCGCACGGGGACTCGCAAAACGATCGTCGTGCCTGCGTCTGGCGCTACCTGGCTCACGGTAGCGTTGCCCCATTTGACTGTCGCACGTCTGCGAGGCACTATCGGATTTGAATGTCGGACACAGGCCACATCCATCTGTGATGCACCATCTTCTCTCATGTCTTGTCTCTTGTCTCTCGTCCTGCCCATCAAGAGGGGGTGAGCTGTGGGATGCCGTGATACGTTTACGACGCCATCCTAGGCAGGGTTTCGGTTTACACCCTCCTGGGCCCAGTTTTTCATTGGGGGTGCGTTTTGTATCCCCGGTCGCGAACCGGGGGGGGGGGGTCCGCTCCAAAAACAATAAAAAACATGTCCAGCGGGATCACAGGAGCATTCTAACACGCCCATTCCGCGCAGGCACGGTGGCGGAACATACGACATGGGGTGTGCAGGACGGCTGGTCGTTGGACAAGAAGGACTGGTGCTGCACGAACGAGAACCGAGGCCATCTATCCCTCCGCGCGCGGAAGGCCCAGTGACCGACTTCAGCCGTGCCAGTGGTGTGCGAAACATTTGTTTCTTTGTGACGTGTTGGATCCGAACGGTTTGTTGCCGCATGCGTGGACGTCTCGGCGGTCGCGATTTGTTTTGACGCTTGACGCATGGTTGCAGTAATGTTGCGTGTGTTATGCGGTGGTGGTTCTTGGGTCACGAGCGTCCTCGCGTACCATGCGTGGGAGGAAGCGACGCATCGGATACAGAGAAGGAGGGTCCAGACACTTGCGGCATACATGATCGGGAAAGAACGGAGAACGCCGCTGTAGTCCAACGGGCTTATTGGGCGACGACGAAGAAGAGGAAGGCGAAGGCGACGAGGAGGCGATGATAAGGACGACGTGGAGAACGTGAGGATCGCGAGGAGAAGCATGAAGACAACGAGTAGAAAGACACGCACAAGGACGAGGACGATTAGAACGAGGGCGAATACGAGGAGGAATGCGGAGGAGGAGGAGGACGACGACGACGACGACGACGACGACGACGACGACGAGTGAGGGCACTAGGAGGCAAGTGGAAAAGGACGTTGAATCAGGAGAGTGTCCTGGTGATCCTATCGGGTTACCCTGGGGGGTCCTGGCGCCGCGCGAAGTTGTCTTGGGTCTTCTTCGACTGTCTGGGCGCGTCGTGGGATTCGTTGGGAGCTTTCTTGGGCCGTCTCGGCGCCATCTCGGGCCGTCTCGGCACCATCTCGGGCCTCCTCGGGCGCTCCCGGGAGTCTCATGGGGCCCTCTTGGCCTGTCTTGGGCCGTCTTGGGGCTCTCCTGAGCTCTCTGGGTGCCTCCTGGCGCGCTCTTGGAGGCCTCCTGGGGCGCTCTTGGGCGCTGTTGGGGACCTCCGCGGCGTCTTTTGGGTCTCCTTTGGGCCGTTCGAAAACCCTCTAGAGGCGATTCCAAGACGAAGTCGATTCGGAGTCCGTTCAGGGCCATCCGCCACCGTGCCGGCGAAACACTCCGTGTTCAGTCATTCGGGGCAACATTCGCAAGGCCGTCACATGTGACACCTCCGTCTCTGTTTCTTGAGGAGCTCTCGCGGGAGTTTGTCTTGAGACTTTACGTTATCCTGACCCCAGGCGCGCAAAGAAATGGGCCTGCCAGCCGCCCCACCTGTTCCGTTGGAAATCCAAGCAATCCGGCAACGAACTCCAAATCGGCGCCTCCGCTTGGGACATCCTCAGAAAATTGGCCCCCCGAGCCTCCCCATGGAGGCCCTCAGACGCGCGCCAGGGCGCACCGGGCATGTCCCAGTCGAGGGCTCTCGCTCGAGACGTCCTCCCAAAGTCGACCCCCGGCGCGCGAGAAAGTCAGGCCCCAAAGAGGCCCCCAGGGACAATTTCGAGGGATCTGCCAGCGAGCGCCAGGGCGCACCTGACGTGTCCCTGTCTGAGGCTCTCGCTCGAGGGCTGGGGGTCCCAGGGCCAAAAGTGACCCGGGCGCGGCGTACCAATCTGGAGGACTCCTGCTCGAAACCACCCTTGCAATAGTCGTCCCAATCGCCCCGATCGAGAAAGGGCCTCACGAGGATCGGACCGTGGATGAAACGCAGGAGGCGGAGGAGGGAGGAGGGAGCGACGGAGGAGGAGGAGGAGGAGGAGGAGGGAGGAGGAGGAGTGCGGAGGGAAGGAGGAGGGGAGGAGGAGGAGGAGGAGGAGGAGGAGGAGGAGGAGGACGAGGAGGAGGAGGAGGACAGGGAGGAGGGGGAGAAGGAGGCGGAGGAGGAGGAGGAGGACCAGTGTATTTGTTCCCAAGAATCATCAACGATGTAGGGATGCACCCTCCCTGCCAAGCTTCCTCTTCGTAGGTCATAGGCCCCATGCAAGGATTGATTTCCACTCAGGTGAATGCCCCGTTGGAAGACAACCGTGTGAAAATCCTGACGCGCGCCAAAGCACTCTCTGCACTAAAGCGCCACGAGTCAACCTGACTGTTGTGTTTTGATGACGATGGTGAATCGTGCCAGAACACCTTTCCTGGGACTCCAACACCGCGAAACAACGTTACTGTCGCGCTCTGATACGTAATGCTGGTTCGTTCGGAAGCACCATATCTGGAGGGTGAACAACGAGATGTTTCGAAACTCTTGTATTTTCAAACGAACATGCGCGGCACTCAGGCGAGAGCCACATTCTGAATACCACCCGTCCTCAATCCGTGAAGCTCTTGGAAATCTGTAAGCCGAATACGCGTGGCGCCTAGGCGAGAGCCGCATGTTGAAGACCACCCTTCCCGAACCCGTAAAACCAGCACAATTGTTAAGACGAAGCTGCGCGGGTCTGAGGCGATACCCACATTTTGAAAACGACCCGCCCTGAATCCGTGAAGCTCTTGCAATTTTGTAAGACGAGTGTGCGCGGTGCAAAGGCGAGAGCCACATGTTGAAAGCCACCCGCCTTCAATCCGTGAAGCTTTTGCAATCTAAAGGCTGCCGCCTCTGCCGCCGACCCCAGTTGGTGTTTTTTGGAGGGAATCGGGGCGTGGTGCTCTACTCGGGGCTTATCGGATCCTCTGAGGCCGTCGTTGAGGCGTCTTGCGTTTCTTTCGCGTATATTTGCTGCAAAATCCAATGTGCTTTGATTGATTTCCGCTTTTCGAAGCCCTCTTCGAGTTCTTCGCGGGGCGTTCGCGAGGCGTTTTGGGCGCCAGGCACGTTGTTTCGGCACCCCCTCCCCGATTATTTCGCCATCCAGAGCGCGATGTAATGTACGAAAGATAGCGCCGTAATGTACTCATGGTCGTGGCCGCGGGAGCACCGTCTTGTCGTAATCTACCAGGGATTGTGGCTCCAGGCGCGTCAAGTTGGTGTAATTCGCGAGACGCTTTAGAGTGTGGCCTCGGGAGCGCGAGTGCTGTACATTGTCAGGGAATGCGGCCTCTGGGCGCGTTCTTGTAATGTCCGAGGTGATGTGGCTTGGGAGCGCGCACGTATTGTATTTCCACGTGCCTCGAGGCACCCAAAGGGTGAGGGAACGCAGGTGCGTGTTTGTAACGGGGCCGGGTGGGGGGTTGCGTTTTCTTCAACCTTGCACCCTTCGATTGCAGAGCAGTGGTCAGTAACATGTGAATATTTGGCACAGGGCGATCGCACTGGAACTAGTATACTGGAACCAAGGAGCCGAGGACTGCTTGCAGGGGGCACACGCTTACTCCTCGCAGCCTGGTGGCCGCCAGGGTGGCTGGCGGGCTTGCCTTCCTTCCTCATTTCGTCAATAGGCGGTCCCCGTAGCTCTTGGAGGACGACGACGAGGACGAGGACGAGGTGGAGGAGGAGGAGGAGGATGACGACGACGACGACGACGACGGCGGCGACGTCGAACACGGAGCCGCCAGACCGACAGACAGGCCCAGTTCCTGAGCCCAGAAATGCGACCCCATAAGAGTAAGCGCTGTTTGGGAACTATGGCGCCACAAATATATTCCTTTCGAAAAAAGAGGTGGGATCCACCACTCTCCAGGGGCCTGATTCAGCCGCCCCCTCTGGGGATGAGCAGTTACATACATGTGCAATTTACAAATGATGCTGTCAGACGTGGTGAGTGGCGGGGTGGGGGTCCCGGCGCGTGTTTTCGTAGGGTGGGAGGTCCCTAAAACAGCACACAAAGAAGGTCCAGGAGGGTGGGGGTGTCAGACGTGGTGGGTGGCGCAGGGGGGGTCTCCGCGCGTGTTTTCGTAAGGTGGGGGGTTGCCTAAAACAGCACGCAAAATTTGTCCAGGAGTGTGGGGGTGTCAGACGTGGTGGGTGGCGCGGTGGAAGCCCCGGCGCGTGTTTTCGTAGGGTGGGAGGTCCCTAGAACAGCACACAAAGAAGGTCCAGGAGGGTGGGGGTGTTAGACGAGATGGGTGGCGCGGTGGGGGTCCCGGAAGGTCCAGGAGGGTGGGGGTGTCAGACGTGGTGGGTGGAGCGGTGGGGGTCCCGGCGAGTGTTATCGTAAGGTGGGGGATGCCTTGAACAGCGCAGAAAAATTGTCCAGGAGGATGGGGGTGTCAGATCTGGTGGGTAACCCGGTGGGGGTCCCGGCGCGCGTTTTCGTAGGGTGGGAGGTCCCTAAAAAGCACGCAAAGAAGGTCCAGGAAGGTGGGATGTCAGACGTGGTGGGTGGCGCGGCGGGGGTCCGGGCGCGTGGTTTCGTAGGGCGGGGGTTTTAAAACAGCACAATAACTCCAGGAGGATGGGGGTGTCAGACGTGGTGGGTGGCGCGGTGGGGGTCCCGGCGCGTGGTTTCGGAAGGTTGGGGGTGCCTAAAACAGCACACAAGGAAGGTCCAGGAACGGTGGGGTGTCAGACGTGGTGGGTGACGCGGGAGGGGTCCAGGCGTGTGTATTTGTAGAGAGGGAGGTTTTAAAACAGCACACAAAAAAGTCCAGGAAGGTGGGGGTGTCAGACGTGGTGGGTGGCGCGGTGGGGGTCCTGGCGCGTGTTTTCGTAGGGTGGGGGGTCCTTGAAACAGCACACAAAGAAGGTCCAGGAGGGTGGGGGTGTCAGACGTGGTGGGTGGCGCAGTGGGGGAGTCCTGGCGCGCGTCTTCGTAGAGGGGGAGGTCCCTAATTATTCGACGCGGAAATCTCCATATGTGCATCTCATGGTGATGTCATGCTTCGGTAGAAGACATTGTCCTTTTCAATATCTGAGCGTCAGCGGATTCATGTGGAAGACGAACCCGAGAGAGATTCCGACGACTACGACGTTTTTAACTAGTTGTTTCTTCCTTCTTTCCTCCTCCTCCTCCTTTACTCCTTGTTCTCCTTCTCTTTTTCCCAACCATCCTGTGGTGTTGGGTCCTCGTTTTGAAGAGACGTCGCCCCGCGTTCTCCTTCCTTCCTTCCTTCCCGCTGCCCCCTCCCTCCTCCTCCCTCCCTCCTCTTCTCATCATCATCATCAACATCATCCCCATCATCGTCATCGTCATCTTCATCTGTCGTCATCATCATTATCACCACCCAGTCTGCACA